CTTTCTTAAGTCTCCTCAAAGCTCGCTCGCTGATTGGTCGATGCCATCCAAGCAGATCGTTTGCACGTGAAGAATAATTCTTCTCGCACAAGGATTTGGAGCCTATAGTCGCTTATTTAAGCCAATATATTTCTAATCCCAACTAGTGAGAATACAACTGCCAAAAGAATACACTGCAGTTGAATCCATGCGCCAACTTTCTAACTCACACACACGACTCACATGTTGAACATACCTTGTACACACTCACATAAACTCTTGCAAGAACAATTATTACAAGAGACTCTCATGAACATTCTTCCAGTGAAAATTGAAACACTAAAATAACAGTTAAAAGAAAGACAACTCTTTGTTAATTCAACCTTTTTTTGCTTAAATGCATTCTTTCCTTCACATCGTTGTTTCATGATGTACATCTTGTTAAATACATATTTTATGTGTAACAATGTCTTTTCGTTATCTTCTTTCTGCGTGAGCCTTTTTTCCTAAAGTTAAATTAATGTGAAATCCGCCCCAAACTCATGACTTGCGCCGTCTCTTTTATTGTAAACCAGACATACTCTCTTCTTTCAGTTCAAACGTTCTTCTTTCTTTCCATTACGACTTTGTCTAATAATTATTTCCACTGTATTTCTGAGTTTGCTATCGATATGTATTTCGTTTAAAGGTATGAAATAATTGTTTTTTCTTCTGTGCTAGATTAGAAATGCAGTTCTTATATAGTACCCTCGGCGTTATTTGGTATTAAATTAGGATACTTTCATCTTGTTTTTAAGTATCACATTTTAAATATTTTAGACGCTGTAATTAAACTTTTATGAATCAAAACTGCTGCGCAAATAAATTTTCTCTCTCCCCTCCCCCTCTCTCATATATATATATATATATATATATATATATATATATCCGTTGGTATATAATCCAAGTGGATCAAAGTAATATATAATATTATAACTGATCCACAGAAAGAGCTCAAAATATTTATTGATACAGAGCAATATAATTAATAAACAATAAAATACAAAATTACGCCATGAGGTAATTTAGAATTTCATCATATATATATATATATATATATATATATATATATATAGAGAGAGAGATATTTCAAATCATTTAACGTTATTTAATTCAATCATTTATTGTTAGTATGAAGGTTGACTTCATCTTAAAATGTTGTATTGATATGTCCAATTAAAATAATAGTCAAACTTTTCTTGATATATACCAATCTTGTGATAAGTCTTTTCTCTATGTCATCGCCCACAGCAAGTAGACGGCCGACTCGGAATGAAAACTAAAGGATCTCTTGGTAAGGTGGTTGAAGAAAAAGAGGAATAATGATAAATCGTCAGCTACAAGAAGACTTAAAGTTTGGTATTCAATAAAATGATAAGGCCAATAGTTTATTTAAGATTTAGTTATATATGCATCAGACATGTGCAGGTAAAAATATCTGGGAAGTGTTGCAACGGAGGATGAAAAATGTGACGTGCTCGTATACATGCGTCACATCTAGTGAAACAGGTATTTCAAAAGCTAAGCAAGGCCTTGAAAAAACGGAGAAAAGATCGTTAGAAACAAAGAGAAGTGCTATGTGGTATCCATTTTCTTATATGGCAATGAACGTCAGACATTTTCCACTCGGATAAGAAGAAAACTAGAGGCAGCAGAAATAATCTTCTACAAAAGAATACTGAAAATTCCAAGTTAAGCAACAAGTAAATGTCAACAAAAATAACACTAAAAGAAAACGTAATGAAAATTCCTTGAACACAAAATGAGAAAGGGATTCTTGAAAATATTAACCAACAGCGGGGATGTTGAAGGAAAGATTTATAGGGGAAGACATAGGGGCTGTGGAGCTTTTGAGAATAGGCGGAGATACGGAAGCAGGAAGCTTAGCAAAGGGAGGAAAACTGCTAAGAGCCGCACGATATAAAAAGTTGTGGAGAGTTATGATTGGTTATATCCTCAAGGGACGCGTCACATACAAGACGAAATTTCGTCTAGATTACAGATAATTATTGAAAATGCAGTTTTAAATCACAACCTAAAGGATCTCCGTAATTAAAACGATCTACGACATTCAATAAATATAAAAGAAAAACATTCGATAAATTTAATGAAATTATTTTAATTTACAGCTGCATAACTCAAATTTAATTTTTTTAGGTTCAATAAAGCAGGGAATTGTAAGGCATACAAAGTAAATTAGTTTCATTTAAAATATAGTTTTCCCCAATGCTATGAGTTATGATGAAAAACAAAATGACTTTATATATTTTTCTGTAAAGATATTGACTTCACATATTTATATAATCCGTGTCTTGGGTAAGACGATAAACTATTTCCAGCAGCAAGGCCTCTGATCAGGAGGTTCTGAGGGGTGTGGAACCACCTTTTAATTTCTGGTGTTCCAAGGTTCCCCCTGATAAGGGGTGGTAGCAAATGTTAGGGTCCCAGCTAGGGGCAAATAGTTAACCCCCAAACTGGGTTCAAAGCACTACGAAAGTGTAAAAATAGGTTTTAACAGAAATATTTTTGTAAAAATATTGTTACAGGCAATATATTATTTACACTGATATATTTTTGAAAAAATATTACCAGCAATACATGTTTGAAGAAAAAAATATTACCATCAATAAAAAAAAACATTGTCGGCATTAAACAGCACATTGTGGTTGATATGCCGTAAACCAAATCGATAAAATGGGATACTCTGTGTTTTTTGTAAACACGTTCTCACTCCTATCCGACACTGGAGACGCTGAAACAACTTGAGCTATAATACGTTTTATTTTGTATCTACTTATTTGTTTCCGTTTGCTTTGTTTAGATAGATTAATTGTTTATCTATTCCTTTATATTATGATTATTTTTATCGAAAAAGAACATGCTACAATAGGATTAATTGTATAGCACTCACTTCTACTTTGATGTCGACAGAAGTGATGATAAATCTATAAACACATCGAAAGAAAATGCAGCTACACATAAAATGTGCCTTTTTTTATAAGCACAATACAAATTCCTAACTTATATAAATAGTATCTTCATATTTAAGGCAGGAGTAAATATAATAATATAAGTATATTTGCCGTGATCTCAAGTTATGCTTATAACTATGCAAAAACAGAATTAAAAATTGTTCCGTATGACTGGCTATATTTTTAAAAGAAAATGACAAAAAAGAACATACATTCTGTGAAGTAAGACATAATTGAATTTCAAAGATTCACCTGTGTGTGTATTTCTGTAATGATCGTTCCTATCATCTACTTTGCAGTCCTTTAGTTCGTAGTCGTCAAATTTAAGGGAAAACGTTTTCAAACTCCTGTAAAAAAGAGCTCACTGCTTCCAACCCACTTAGAAATACCTTCGGTTCGCATATTATTATTAGTAGTAGTATTAGTATTATTTGCTTTTGGGTTTTATAATCTCAGGTTATAATCAAAGAGCAAATGTGTAGTTCCGCACAGTGCTGTCTTTAATCTCCCTAAACAGAAGCTTCCAGTGATCATGGTTATGGGCTTTTCAGCATATTTCTTTATGGTACCTTCAATTGATATATATATATATATATATTTAAATAAAAAGAAAGAACAGTAAGAAATATAATCCGGTGTTCTTATAGATATTTTTTATTTTTACAAAATAGTGCTCAATGTAAATTTACAGAGCATTAATATTATAAATTAATTGATTTAAAATGTTTTCTTCCGCTACACAGTTCTAACCATGTTTCAAAAATGGAAGCTAAAAGCCACGAATTTAATTTTGCACATCCTCAAGCGAATTTTGGAGTAACTTTTAAAATTACTGGGTTTTAAAGACACAGCTAAGATCACGTTTCCATGGTTACAGATAAATCTACTTCAATTGGACAATTGAAGAAGATTTATCTGTAACCATGGAAACATATTGTTTAATAGATATATAATTATATCTGACTGCACACATCTATGAGATGAGTAATCTTAATAAGTAAAATGTATCTGAGGGTGAACAGTGAAGCCCGGAAAAATGTATCGCCTTGGCCTTCTATAATTGTTTTGCCGTGATGATCATACAATTTTTCTCGTTGTGGCATACTATAATACTGACATATTTTCCAACGGAGATATTGCCCTATATACGGATTGGACAAGGAGTAAGTATGAAGTCAACAGATTAGAATGTTGTTCACTTGATCGACATAGTAGGACCACAATTTTTTTATTGTGTTTGTTTGGTAATTTCTCTTAAATAAGTTCTAGTCCTGTTCCGGGAATGAAATTGCCTCTGCTTCCGGACATGCATTCTCTAGTCACTGATGGCTTTTGTGTTTATCTGTTAGTATTTATTTCCCTTGTTTTGTAATCATCATTTTGTTTTGTTTTTACATTTGCCTCATATCGTTTTAGCTCATTTTCTTACTTCCATTTTCTACTCTAAATATCTTTGATTATGTTTCACTTTCGTTTTCATTTCATTCTTATATTTACGTTATTTTAATGCCATGTCATTTCACGATATACGTAGTCACGGTTGTGGACTGATTTTATTTATCTTATTGTTTGCGAATTGCCATGTCATGGAAGATATAGTTAACTAATTTTTTTATGTTTCTCTACTGTTTGCAATGAAAACTTCTGTTGTGAGAACGGTATCCATCCAAGTTTCGATATCGTGTTCTGCGCTACAATTTAAGCCATAATTAGCGATGAGAGATATTACTCAAAGCTTTCCGATAGATATGTGTGCGAAATGAACGAAACATCAAGCCAGAATTTGGAATTTTTCGCCGATGATAAAACTTACACTTTAATTATTCTTAATGTAGCTATTTTTCATAGGTCGCTTTGACATCGTGTAATGATTAACATCGTTAGTATGGTTGAATATAAAATACTGAGATCGATCGTCACTATGTGTCCATTAGAATGTTCGCCATTAAATAATACAACATATAAATCAACCAAGCCAACTATTGTTAATTTATTTTCACACTCTTGACAATGGATTCTTTTTTAACTCCTTCATTTTATGTTGTATTATTTTCCTTAATTTTCATTCATCATTTTTTTGTTTCGCTTTTATTTTCTCTTCGTATTCCTTTTCTTCGCTTGATGTACACAAAATACTATTGGACTTATCTTCTATTTATTCATTTCGTTTTTTAACAGCTTTACACGGATATATTTCTATCCTTGATCATTCTGAGTGTTTTCCGCCATCATCCTTTTCTTCCGCTCTGTCTTTTACTATTGTACATGCATTTTATTTTTTTCTTCTCTAATTTCATTTACATTTATATATTACACGCGCCATTTTCTTTTTACATTAATTTAGTCCATTCTGTTTCTATTTTCATACACTTTTCATCTTTTCCTCGTTTTCTTTCCTTTTTCCTCTCTTTTATTTCCAGTATTTTTTCCCTATTTTCCTCTCTCTGATAGTGTTTCGTACTACGCGATATTTGAATGCATTTTACTTTTTCTTTTATCATTTTCTTCTACTCCAAATTTACACACAGGTTTTTCTCGTGTTTTCTTTTCTTTTTTTTCTTCTTCTAATCCACAGGCATCGTTTTTCTCTCATCCTTCATTTCTTTATTTACATCTATTCTACTTTACATACATCTCTTTCTTTGACTGATGTCGCGATTCCATTTCCATCATTTATCTCACCAACGCCATCGTCTCACCCTTGTTTTTTTTCTGATCAGCATTTCTTTTTTTTTTCTGCATTCATTTTTTTTTTATTATACTGAGGTTTCTATTCTTCGTCTGCACCAGGGCGACTTGTTTCATAAGAAGCAATCAAGAAAAACTGCCGGCGATGTATCAGAAGATGAAGCCTCACTGGAACAAAGAATTTCGATAATGTGACGTTCATACATAATTCAGCGTCTCCATTACAGACAGTAAGCAACAGCCATTGCAATTACGGTCAAGTGATTTTGTGAAATGTCGACATAACAGAACAATCAACAGAGTGATCTCAAAGAAAATGCATAGCGCCGTGGAATGCGCAAAGTAGACGAGAGGATATGTAAGAATGATGAATAGACAAAAACTTACAAAGTTAGACACACTGAGATGGAGAATTTTAAAATGCACAGACGTAAACACACACACACACACACACATATATATATATATATATATATATATATATATATATATATATATATACTCAGTATTGGTGTGAATTTCTACAGCTCACGAAGAATGGATAATAAAAAAGATTTTGAAGCTTCATCATTTGGAAAGTAGGCAATGCGCACAATCATATATATATATATATATATATATATATATATATATATATATACATTCACCTGATGATTTATCGTCTTATGAAAATTTATTTAATTATTTCATATACATGTAAGTTTTCACTTTTGTTATGCAAATTCCTTTACGCATTCTATTTTTTACACGCTTACTCGACACACACACACACACACACATATATAATGTGTGTATTTTTATTTATATATATATATATATATATGTTGGTTTTATATATATGTTTATATATATATATATATATATATAAACACATTATATATATATATAATGTATTTCTGTGCATATGTATGAATGTGTATATATATATATATATATATATATATATATATACATACAATGTGTTTCTGTGCATATGTATAAATCTGTGTGTATATATATATATATATATATATATATATATATATATATATATAGGTTTATTAAAAAAAGACTGAACCACATTCATGACGCATTGCTTCAGTTCTCGATCATCGTCATAGAAAGAGTCAGTGACCATTTGAAAGAGTAGTTTTCTTAGTTTTGAATGTCTGCTGCATGGGCGCTGTAGTCACGTCGTATCTCCGGCCACAGTGGTTTTAACAGTTTCAAGAGAATGCGTGTCTGTGTAAAAGAAAATGTCCAGGATGACCAAGAGTTTCGGAGGAACAAGTGGTGTGAATCCGTGGTGCGTTTGTGTACGGAAAGCCACAATTTCAAGCTATCCGTGAGCTTAACATTTCTCATTCCACTACCTAGTGTGTGCTTCATTTGAAAACTTAAAGAGTACGCCTCGTACAGGGTTTTCTTTTTATGCTTGGCCTGCGAGATCCCCATACCTCACAATGTGGGACTTTTCCTTTATTTCCCGTGGGCACATGTAAAAGATTCCGTTTATGTTGCACTGTTTCCCGCTATTCTCAATGGAATAACAACAGCAACCAATTCAACGGATCGTGATATGCTGATAGGTGTATGGGAGGAATTCTCGGATGACATTAATGCTGAATGTGGTGGCCACATTGGACACTTGTATGATAGGAAATAAAAGTTGATTGCGAGTAGAATACTTGTGACTTCTCTGGATATTTACATTGCTTTTACCTATTGACATATTGCGTATCGGTTCATTCTTTTTTAATAACCCTGTAACTAAAATCGTATATATATTTATTTACGTGTGTTATATATGTGTGTGGGTGTGTGTATATCTGTACTATTATAGAAGTGTATGTATGCATATATCTGTATATATATATATATATATATATATATATATGCGTGTGTGTCTGTGTATATCTGTACTATTATAGAAGTGTGTGTATGCATATATCTGTGTGTGTATAATGTGTCTGTGTGTAGATATACATGCGTGTGGATATATGTGTCTGTATATCTATATATATTCAATATAAAGAGTGTACGTAAAGTTCATGTGCACTTAAAAAAAATTATAACTTTATTTGTATTTGCGATAGAAATAATCTGTAAAAAATGTTATAAAGTTTAATGTACCTAGTTTTAATCATGGCTAAAATAACTAATGTGATTTCAGACATTACTGTAAATCAGTTGTCAAATGTTTTCCGTGAACTGCAAAATCGTATTACACTTTGTATTGCTAATGATGGAGGACATGTGGAAACTTAAATCAAATTTCTACAAAACCTTAAAAATATCGATTTACTTCTTTCTAATCCATTTTACATATTATTTCTATCGCAAATACAAATAAAGTTATAATCTTTTAATGTGCACACGTACTTTATGGACACCCTGTATATGTAGATGTATACATGTGTATATATATATATATATATATATATATATATATATATATATACATACATGTGTGTGTCCACCAAAATAATATCTACAACGTGGTGCCGTTTTCATGCAACCAAATATTAGTTACATGATTAATCTTGAAAATAAGATATTAACACCACTAAAACCTCTGCATCTTTACTTATATATATATATATATATATATATATATATATATATATATATATGATATTCTTATTGTTAAAACATTAACTGCACATACATAGTTGTAATAATACTTTTCCTCCTTAAAACCAAATTGCATAAGCACGTGCACTCTTAACCATAAAAGCGATTGTCCTGACTATTATAGTTATTATACTAAATTAAATTAAACCCTGCAAAAGTTAATTCTTTCCACGAAATAATTTTCTACACTAATTAAAACACATTAAATATCTCTCATTAACAATGACTTTCCTAAATTCATCGTCATTGAGTAAATTAGGTGGCCATTAGAAATATTAACAGGAATAAAAAAGCACATAATAATACCTGAATTATCACTAAACATATCAACTTACTATCCCGTAATCAAATGAAATTTAACTGTAGAAAAGATGAAAAAATTCTAAAATATATCATAAAACTAATATATTCTCAATTGATCCTAGTAAGAAAAGAAAACTAATTACCTACTATGCTAAATCGAACTCAACCAATTTAATGATACGCAATAGGTCTTTTCCTTCAATTTGAATTTGGAAATGAACATCATCATACCTTTTATGGGCCGTGTTTCTTCTGGACGTAAATGATCATGCAACGCTACTTTCTTCTGTTCATTTTAGCTCTTAAGTTTTAATCATTTTGCTATTTTTTTCCCAGTCCCTGTTCTGCCATGCACTTGCTCAAGTCCACTAACTACGCCACGTGTTGTTTTTTTTTCCTTCTCCCTCTTTCCTTCTATCCGTCCTCAGAGTATCAGATTTTCCCAGCCCTTCTTCCTCATTACGTGTCTCAGAAGTTTCAATTCTACTTCCTGGTGTTAATTATGAGTTTCCTCTTGGCTTCCATTCCTTTTTAATTTCATCGCTTGTCACATGTTCGGCCCGTGGTATCCTTAACATCCTTCTGTAGAACCAGATTTCTGTTGATTCGAATCTCTTCTTCATTTTGAGGAGATTATCCAACATTAGCTGCCATAGAGGAGGACAGATATCTCGTAACAGTTCAGTACACTTTTTTTCCAATGAAAATTCCCTGTCTCTTATTATCTGCTAAGCTTTTGGAATGCGTCTTCGGACATCCCAGTATGTTTTCGAATATCGGTGTCGCACTTTTCGTCCAGTCCTTGAACACTTACCAGGTATTTAAATTTCTCTACCTGCTTGATTCATATAACCCGACCAGTAATTTGCATTTTGGATTCATCTTTTTTGCTGATGACCATGCATTCTGTTTTCTTGTAGTTTATACATTTTACTTGTCCGCTTCCCCACACTACCTTTTGAAAAAGATTTTGTAGATTTCTTTCCGTGTCTGGTATAAGTATTATCTCATCTGCATATGTTGAATTGTTAAAATTGTGGTCGCCAATGATAAATCCTTGTAGGATTTCTAGTTCTCTTAGAATCACCTCGCTGTATGAGGAGACACGGTGGAGTAGTGGATAGCGGCTTGAATTGAGGAAGCGGAGAGCCGAGTTCGAATTCCAGTCGAATCCATTACATTCACTTACGTGCTAATACCCTTGAGAAAGATGTGAAGCCTCTTCTTCTCCCTCCAGGTATGGGTAAGTAGCAGGACAGATTGGGTTCTATAGCCTTTGATGGCAAGTGGTCTAGGAGAAGGAAAACTCAATTCAAAAACCTGCGGAGGGTCGTCTGGGGACCTTGTGGCCCTTCAAAAAGTGTGGATGGTCCTGCACAAAATACTTCACCACTATAATCAAATCATGTGCTATACATGCGATTGGGGACCGCTTGTGAATTCCAAATTCCCATGAAACTCTAACATTGGAGTCGGCTCAACCCACTTCAGGTGAATGCCGTTACAGGTACAGGTACCTCGCTGTATAGATTGAATAAACCGGTGAGATGCTTTTCTTACACCCACTTCTATTTTTATATATGAACTAAACCCATTTGTTATCTGCTACCAGTAGAGATCTCTGATCATTCTAATGTCTTTACCGAATGTGTCAAAGCTGCTAACAGCTCATAGTGGCGTACTTTTACGAACTCCTTTGCATAGTCTATAAAACACATGTACACGTCATTCTGCATTTGTATTGATCTTTCTCATAATATTCTGAGCAGAAAAATCACGTTCCTTGTTTCTGGGAGTTTGAAGAAATCTCACTGTACTTGTCATATATGTGGCCTGAATTCTACTCGCTCGCATCGTCAGAATTTGGATAAGTTTTATGTGGCTCATTAGGCATATTGTTCGGTGGAGTTCATATTCAGTCGCGCCTGGATTCTTAGGCAGTTCTATGAAAAAAGATCTTCTTAGGTTTTTCGTTATATTCCACTATTTCATTTATTATTTCTATGATCTTCTCCATACCGAACTCGTCTAAAGCTGCCATCATTTCTATTACAATTCCGTCTCTCCCCACCGCTTTGTTTCTGTTCAATTTGTCCAGTGCAGCTTCCACTTCGATTTTTAGTATTTTCCGGCCCGTCGGTATTTCTGTGTATTGCTATTT